TTGAGAACCCAGCTCCTCTTAAGAACCCAGCTCCTCTTAAGAACCCAGCTCCGCACCCAGCTCCCGTTGAGCACCCTCAGCCACCAGCTGCCAAGCCACCACGCAGGCCGGTCCTTTCCCCTGCCCCCACACTTTCAGACGGTGGAAGCCCGCGGTGTCCTCTGGCAAAGGCCAAGACATCCCCAAAGCAAGCCCGCGCACCGAGTGGCAAACGATCCCGATCAGCTGAGGCCACACAATCCCCGAAGGAAACGCGTGCGAGCAAGAAGCGACGCCACTCACACGCGACCCCCACGCCCAAGGAGAAGCCCGCCCCACGAGCTGGTTCTTCGTCCCCCGAAGCAGCCACACCGGACGAGAAAGAGAGGGACACGAGTGCAGGGCAGGCCATCAGTTTGTGCGCATGGGTATAGGGTTTTATTTTAGGGTTTTACCAGGGTTTCTATAGGGTTTAGGGTTTATAAAGGGTTTATATAGGGTGTTTAGGGTTTAGGGCTTCGGGTTTATGGTTTATATAGGGTTTAGGGTTTGGGGTTTATATAGGGTTCATATAAAGGTAAAGCGTTTAGGGTTCAGGGTATATATAGAGGGTTTAGAATGGGTTTTGTTTAAACAATCGCTCACAGTCTCCATATTTGACAGTCTCTGAATGCAGGCGAAGAAAAAGCCGGTCATCAAAATCACAATGCAAAAGCTGCGAAATTACGAGGCCAAGCTGAGAAGAATGTGCAAGCCCAGTCCCAAGCGAGGCACCTTGGCTGTGTCGCCGGAAGTCGCCAAGCAGTGGGCGTGCAAGAAGTCCAGAAAGCAGCTGCTCCAGTGCTTGATTACCTCACAGGGTGACGAGGACGGCCCTAGAAAGCCCTATAAACCCTATACATCCCTATATATATATATATATATAAACCCTATATATATATGTCTGTATATGTATACATAGATATATATATATATCCCTAAACCCTAACCCTGTACATATATATGTATATATACATAAAATATATAATATAAATAAATAAATACATATATATATATATATATTTATTTATTTATTTATATATATGTATATATATATATATATTATGTATTATTCATATTATTCATCACAAACCCAAACCCTAAAGTTCCTCATCCTCGAAGGATACTTTCAATGCAAAGATGGCGATTATCATCCGGAGCACGAAAGAAAACAAGCTACAAGTGGACTCTGGGTACTACAGTGAGAAAGCAATGGCTGAGGACTTGGGTTTCAGCAAGACACTCTGCTCAATGTGCCAATCATGTAGCTGCAATGTATAGTTAGTAGGGTTTAGTGCAGCCTCGCCCTAACCATAATGCAGCCAAGGGACAGAAGGAAGGCGGTCGTCCAGTACTGCACGGCCACGAAGCTGCGGAAGAAGCAGTTGGTCCGGCTGCTGGCCTGCAGAAGTCTTCGTGTGGGGATGTGTGGGTGTGTGTGGCTGTGCGTGTGGGTGCACGTGTGTGTGTGTCTGTGCGTGTGGGTGCACGTGTGTGTGTGTGTGTGTGTGTGTGTGTGTGTGTGTGTGTGCGTGCGCGTGCGCGTGCGCGTGTGCGTGTGCGTGTGCGTGTGCGTGTGCGTGTGCGTGTGCGTGCGTGTGCGCGCGCGCGCGCGCGATTGTGTGTGTGTTGTGTGTGTGTGTGTGTGTGTGTTGTGTGTGTGTGTGTTGTGTGTGTGTGTGTGTGTGTGTGTGGGTTGTGTGTGTGTGTGTTGTGTGTGTTGTGTGTGTGTGTGTGTGTGGTGTGTGTGTGTGTGTGTGTGTGTGGTTGTGTGTGGCGTGGTGTGTTGTGTGTGTGTGTGTGTGTGTCTGTGTGTGTCTGTGTGTCTGTGTGTGGGCGCACGTGTGAGTGCTCGTGTGGGGGCGCGGGCGCGGGTGCTGGTGTTGGCGCGGGTGCGTGTGTCCGGGTGTGTGTGTGTGTGGGTGTGTGTGTGTCTCTATTTATGTCTGTCTGTCTGTCTGTCTGTGTGTGTGTGTGTGTCTGTGTGCGCGTGAGTGTGAGTGCTGGGTGGGTGGGTGTGTGGGTGTGTGTGTCTTTCGTGTGTGCAGGGGTGTGTGGGCATGCGGGGGTGTGCGGGTGTATTTGTGTGTGTGTGTAACCCTATATAAACCCTGTATATATATATAAGCCATATATATAAGCCCTAAACCCAAACCCTTCTTTATAAAAGTCCAAAACCCTATCTATAAACCCTAAACCCTTTTAAGCCCTAAACCCTGTCCATGTTATAAACCCTGGCTGTGTGTGTGTGTGTGTCTCCCTGTGTCTGTGTCTGTCTCTCAGTGTGTGTGTGTGTGTGTGTGTGTCTGTGTGTGTGTGTGTGTCTGTGTGTGTGTATTGCCCTTTGATGACCATGCATCACACAATTTCCTGGGGTCCCACTTTCATATATAAGGCGTGACAAGTACGAAAGAAAGCTGAAGGAGTACTGGGTGGATGTCAAGACGACTGGAGTTGCTCTGCAAACCGTGGCAGAGGAGGTGTTGCAGCAATACGAGGTAGTGGACATGAAGGGATCACTGCCGGCTCCTATGCTCTCGGGGAAAAGCCCCCGGCCTGACCTGGATGATGACAGCACGGACGAGGATAACGACGATGAGAGTGAGGAGGGTGAGTCAAGCCCTGAGGAAACACCGAAGACCAAGAAACCCAAAGGAAAGCGTACTGGTGCAAACCCGAAGCCAGTGCGGAGGATGAGATCCCGCAAGGAGGAGGCGGAGGAGGAAGAAGCATTGGAGGCAACTTTGAATGCCAGCCTCCAGCACCGTAAATATGCTAATTGAAAGGGAACCCCTGAACGACTGTCTTTCTTGTCTCAGGATGTGGACAAGATCGATTCGGTTATGGATGAGCTGTTGAAACTCCGGACCAAGCTGGATGACAACATCGACAAGCTCGAAAAATTGCCATCTAACCAGAATGTCTCTCAGCCCCTGTGTGAATTTATATGTACACAATGTGTTCCCACAGTCGGTCGTGCGCGTGTGAGCCCTGTGCTGCCTAAACCCTGTTCATTTAAGGGCCCTGACTATCGTGAAGAAGCAAGCGGAGGACATTATGAAGATACACGATGAATTGGCTGAGGTCAAGTCCGAGCACACAAATGGGAAGGTGCCAAGCCAGGAGCTTCCTATCTGAAAATTATAACACCCTAAAATCCGAAACCCCATCATTCAACCGCCCTAAAGTACAAATGCTTCTATGTAAGGACGTTGGCGTCTCTCAAAAAGCACTTCTGCTCTTCGGAGAAGCTGCCCCTATGCGACATTTATGAATTCGATTCCCTGGCATGGCCTTTGTGTCCTCCATGATTTGTCATCGATTGGTCAGCGCGTCCGTGCTTACCTGAGGACAAGCCGCGTCCTGCTGGAGGAACGCAAGCTGAAGCGGTTGCTTGGCTTTGCCTTTAGGGTTTAACAGGGTTTAGGGTTTATGTATAGGGTTCATAGGGTTGAGGGTTTGGAAAGGGTTTATAGGGTTTAGGGTTATAGGGTTCTTTTTCGCACCCGTGTCACCAGGCTTTAGGGTTTAGGGTTTATATAAGGTTTAGGGTTTATAAGGTTTAGGGTTTATATAGGGTTTAGGGTTTATATATAGGGTTTAGGGTTTATATATGGGTTTATATAAAGGGTTATATAAGAATAGGGTTTTTAAGACACGGGGTCTACTATGATCTGAGGACACTTCTGCGAGTGACCAGTCGCAAGGGTCCGAAGGCAAAGCCTGCTCCAAAGGGAAAGGCTACCCCGAAAGGAAAGGCCAAGAACTCCAAAGCTGCAGCTGAAACCTCGGGCGAGGATGATGATGATGAGGATGATGATGATGTCGTTCCTGTGCTTGCCCCAAAGCGCAAGGCCAAAGTGCCAAAGGCGAAGGCTAAATCTGGTGCTAGCAAGAAGGGTAGCAAGAAGTGACGTGCATCTTTTCTAGGCTATATATGGGTTACCTGTGCCGACCATACTTGGTGTTGTGAGGAAGCCCTTCTTACTGCTAGCGTTCTTTTTCTGGATGCTTGTGGTTGCAAGGCGAATGCTGCAATTCACACGCAAAGCTCGGGGTTGCTGGGGTTGTGACCCTGACATGCGCTCAGTCTGCCTCTCGAGACAAACAATGCTCCAAAGCAACGGTGCTTCACGACCCTTCAGAACACGAGCATGTTGCCCTAGATTAAACCCTACAATGCCCCCCTGATTGCTGCGCAGGTTCCAGATCCGATCAGCTTCGGGTCCGACAGGATCCACCAAAGCTGAAGCCAGGCCCTGCCTCAAAAGCGTTGGCGAAAGCCCGTGGTGCAGGAGAATCTTGGTTGTCGGTTTGTCCCACAAGTTTGGACGTTTTATCTTTTCAGCTGTTTTATACATCTCGGTAGGTTCAAGAAACTCGGTTTTCGATGGGGGTGCAGTCCGCTACAGGTCTCTGATCGATTGCTTTGCAAAATAGCATCAGGATTCTATCAAGAGTGTGTTGGTGCTGATCCTATAGCGGCTGAGCGCTTGGCTAGTTCCTCTGTTTTGGGAGAGCTCCACCGACACTCTACAACAAAGCATGAGAACAATGCTGCCAAGACCTTCCAGAGGGAGGGTCTCTCTTGCCCTGTCAAAGTTGACATGGTTGACATCGGACTGTCGAAGCCTCATCCTATGGTTCGGATAGGTGACATGCTGGAAACCTTGGCATTGCATGGCAAGCTGCACTCTTTGTGGGGGCCCGGCCAGCAAGACCCCAGCGCAGTGCTGCCAAAGTTTTGGCGGCGCTACCGCCAGGAGCATCCGTCCCATCAGCTCTTTGATCGCCACCGCACGCATCTACACAGGCTTATTCCGTTGCAATTACATATGGACGAAGGGGAGTCGCTGAAAAATGCAGGCTTGATGGTGGCTTCGTGGCAATCACCTATTGGAGCTGGCGTCGCTACCCAGGAAGGGGAACCGGACATGCCTCTGAACTACCTTGGGAATTCTTTCAAAACGCGGTACTTGATATCAGTTCTCTTGAAACGGGTCTATTTGAAGACGGTGAAAGGATCTTTGGACAAGCTAGTTTCCGTGGTTGCAAGCGACTTGACACAGCTCTTCGAGCATGGTATAGAGCTTGATCTCGCAGGTCGGCGCGAGCGCTTCTACATTGCCTGGATCGGCCTTAAGGGAGACTGGCCGATCCAACAGAAGGTCGGACACCTTCAAAGGCACTTTGCACGGGCTACGAAGGATGAGGAACATGGCGTTGGGGTTTGCCATCTTTGCCTCGCAGGGCAAGCGGGCGTTCCGATGCACGATCTTTCCCGACGTGCTGCGTGGAAGGACACGATCTTGACCACATCGCCCTTCCGCAACCCGGGGCCCCTTTCCGGGGTTCCGCAAACTTCGAGCCAGGAGGTCATGTTCCGCTTCGACCCTTTCCACACCCTTCATAAAGGCTGCTTCGCCGAGCTTGCGGGCAGTGCTCTCGTGGGACCCTCAATTGGAACACCGTAACAATGCATGCAGCGTGCGTCAGTTTTTGTTGTTCTCACGAAAACCGTTCCCCACTTGAGGTCATGATCACTGACTATGGGCTTGTGGAAGGCGGTTCTTTCGCTGCTCAGCTCGGCTCGCTATATGACCTTCTTTGGGCTTACTGCAAAAGGACCAAGACGCCCCTTCACATGGAAGCCTTGACTCGAAACCAGATCAACTTCAAAAGGGATTCGGACTATCCAACGGGGTAGCTCGGTTGTGCAACATTTTGTTTATTGTTTAAGGTTGTAGTTGGGGTTGGATAGCCCGTCGGTTTGACTAGTTGAACCCACCCAACTGTATTTCTGAGGTCGTGGTTCAAGGGGGCCGATACTGCTGCAGTCTGCGGTTTCCTGGAGGAGTTCCTCACGACACACGTGTCCACGTTAGTCCAGAAAGATCCGTACTTGGAGAGCGCACGCGATTGCTGCATCAACGCGAACATGTTTCTGAAAACTTTGTATCGACACGGGGTTTGGCTGCCGCTTGAAGCCTGCTCGCAAGCTGCGCAAGCTGGCCTGAACTTTCTGCGATGCTATCAAGAGTGTGCGCAGTATGCGTTTAATGCTGGGAAGACGCGATACAAGCTCCAGCCAAAGTATCACACAATGCTACACTTTGTCCATGCTTTGACTGTTGCTGCCACGTCAGAAAGAAAATGGACGTGGAATATTTTGGCCGATGGAGTCCAGATGGACGAGGACTTCGTCGGCAAAGTGGCTGCCATCAGTAGAGCAGTCAATGTCAGGAGTGTCCATGCCCAAACGGTATCGAGATACTTGACGAACATGTGGTCCGAGGAGTGAAAATGATGATCGAGGGGCTTCCAGGGCTTGGTCTGCAACATGGGTTCCAAGTTGGGTTTTAAAAACGGGCGCCGGGACATGACTCATCAGCAGTGCCAAACATTTCGGGGTGGTGCCTCCTGTTACCATTATTTTAGACAACCAGGTTTTCCAGGTAAACCCTTCTTGCATCCAGGTCTCTTGCAGCCAGCCGGGCGAAACCCTAAACCCTGAAACCTAAGCCCGAAGCCCCTAAACGCCCTAAACCCTAAACCGGAAGTACATCTGTAACAGTGGGCCATGAACCCAGCCTTCGACCCTCTCGACGACGGTGCCCCAAACCTTGTCGCCGTTGGCTCCTTCCCACCCGGGGACTCCCCCAGGTTCAGGGTTTAGGGTTACAACTTCTGGCTTCAGAGCTCGCGCTGACACAACAGCACGAAAATGAAGGTGTTGAGGCTGCTCGGTCATGATGATGAAGGTGATGCCGCAGACGAGGTTCTAATGTTGCTGACAGTCATGGTGATTCGGCGTTGATTGTTGTTTTTATCCCTTCCCCGTAAATACTACAACTCCCACCCACCGTCCCCTACCAAACAAAACGAAAAATTCGGATCGACCGGAAAAATACAATTAGAGGGGTCTTTGGAGTTTTTGTATGGGGGGGGGATCGGGGAAATATGATTCAATGAAAATTGACGGGGAGGGGCTTTGGACTGTAGGGGGAAGGGCTTAGCATGCTGTTCTGGGAAGTGGTACGTGAAGCATGGCCCGCAGCACCGGGTTCTCGGCGCCACAGCGAGAGCACCCCGGAGTGAACAGATTCGCACCGTGCCACACGGCAAGGCGCCAACACGGCAAGGCGCCAAACATCAATCCGGTGCCACTCACCGCCGGTGCGCTGTCGTTCAGGTACAGTCAGTTTTTGCTCTTGCGATGTTCCCTCTTCTACTAACGGTCCTTAATAGGGATTATAGTACCCCCTATTTTTTCATCCCGATTGATGATTGAGGACTCTTAGCATAAGCGGGAACACCCAACTTTGCTCCCACGTCCCAAGGTGCCAAGCCAGCAATGATTGGAGGAAAAACTGACCTCCTCTACCTTACTGGTTCTTAGTAGGGAAGGAGGGAATTAGGGCGCTATACATACCCTTAAAGAGATTCTATAGGGCTACAGGGTACTTCATTCCCTCATGCCCCACTAAGAGCCAGCCACCCTAAACCCTAAACCCTAAACCCTAAACCCTAAACTCTAAACCCTGTGGCTCCTGGCACGGTGACCTCCACGCGGCTTCCCAGGCCAGCTGCTGGCCTCCGCAAGCCCCCAGAGAAGATCCGGAATCGGGCGGACTTGTCCAAGGTACAGCTCCTGGGATGCCCCGGATTTGGGGTTTAGGATTAGGGTTTAGGGTTTTAGGGTTTAGGGTTTAGGGTCTAGGGTCGAGGGTTGAGGGTTGAGGGTTTAGGGTTTATAGGGTTTATAGGGTTTATAGGGTTTATAGGGTTTATAGGGTTTATAGGGTTTATAGGGTTTATAGGGTTTAGGGTTTAGGGTTTAGGGTTTAGGGTTTAGGTGAGTTGAGTCATTTTGTTCTTTCCGAAATTAGGGGGTACCATATTGGAGGTGCTTTTTCATGAGGGAATCCTACTATTTGGGGGTCTATATAAGGGGTAAGGTTTTCGGGGTTTTTGGCCGTGTGCTTAGCGGCCTCGCACCACACTGCATGGATGCGAGACTTGTATGGCGAAGCCAGGACAAACCGCACTGTAAACTACCATTTGGTGAAGAACCACCACAAAATCAAAAATATTATTCTTTACAATGTCTGTTATTGTTGTGGGCTGTGGGGGTTCTGAAGCAAAGCTGTTGTAGCAAAGCTGTCCAAACCCTAACGTACAAACCTGAAGCCTGCACCAACACGATTCGTGGCGAGGAGACTTTTGGCAGAAGAAGACGTCCAGGGCCTCAACGCCATCCATGTGGACCTGCTCGAAGGAACATGTTTCGGGCTCACATAAAAAATTCAGGGCTCAGGGTTCGACAAGCTTCCCTAAACCCTAAACCCTAAACCCTAAACCCTAAACCCTAAACCCTAAACCCTAAACCCTAAACCCTACACCCTAAACCCGTTTGCCAGTTGGAGGGCCCTGACCCAAACAGGCATGGGAAATGCCTGATCAAGTGGTCATGGCTCCCCTTTTGGGGCAGCCTGATGCTCTGAAAGGGTTTAGGGTTTAGGGTTTAGGGTTTAGGGTTTAGGGTTTAGGGTTTAGGGTTTAGGGTTTAGGGTTTAGGGTGACCACAATCGAACGACCCACGCAATTATGCCGGAATAGTGCGCCATGATACTGTGAAGCAGGCCTTTTGGGGAATCTAATTCTGGTGTGAGAGAAGGCAGAAGGATCCGCTGGCCCCTGCCCCAAAGAAAGTGCCAGGGAGTTGGCACAGCAAAGCACAGCTAGCAACAACAACAAAACAAGTTGCAAGCAAGCGCTGCGCGGCATTGAGAGAGGAGGCCACAGAACACAGCGAGACAACCAGCACACCACGAATGCTGACCCCTAGTGCAACTCACACCCGCCTCCTTCCGCCACTGAAACCGCTTGGCATCATAAGGGTGGCTTGTTTCCAGGATGGACACCTCACCTGGGACTGACTGGGGATATTTTGGGATCCGCTTGCCTCGAGACGACTCCAACGAGGAAATCCGGTAATGGCCCAGTGCGCTTTGACCGATGTGGGCCGCAGAATACACAGAAGACTGCTAGGGGGGGGGGGGGGGGGGGGGGGGGGGGGGTTTACTGTGGGACCATGTTCGACAAAACAATGCTCCTTTTGCAAAAGCTGCAAACCCTAAACTCCTGACCCCAAGTCCTGAACCAGGTACTCCTAAACCCTAAACCCCTAAAACCCCTAAAACCCCTAATCCCCTAAACCCTAAACCCTGAACCCTAAACCCTAAACCCTAAACCCCGTTCGTCCAGGTCGCCGAGCCCGGCTTCAGCCTTCAGCGCCTGGCGCATGCGCTCCAAGCCCTCTGCCCAAAGGTCCTCCGAGCTTTTTGGGAACCCCTGGCTTGGTTTAGGGTTTAGGGTTTAGGGTTTAGGGTTTAGGGTTTAGGGTTTAGGGTTAAGGGTTAAGGGTTAAGGGTTTAGGGTTTAGGGTTTTTAGGGTTTATAGGGTTTTTAGGGGTTTATAGAGGTTTATAGGGGTTATAGGGTTTATAGGGGTTTATAGGGTTTATAGGGTTTATAGGGTTTATAGGGTAGGGTTTATAGGGTTTATAGGGGTTTATAGGGTTTATAGGGTTTGTAGGGTTTAGAGGGTTTGTAGGGTTTATAGGGGTTTATAGGGTTTATAGGGTTTATAGGGTTTACACGGTTGATTGGGTTTGTAGGATTTGTAGGGTTTATAGGGTTTAATCAGGGTTTGGGGTTTAGGCTTTCGGGCTTAGGGTTGATGCTTGCTGAAGTTCAGGCGAGATGGCATGAGAAACCCCGTCTTCCTGAAAAACAAACCTATGCACAAAACCGATGCACCCTATACAAGCCTTAAGCAGGCGTCTCATCTTCGAGAGACTTCTGGCCCTGTTTGGGGGGGGGGGGGGGGGGGGGGGGGGGGGGAGGTAAAGCTTCGTGGATGCCGATGCCTCACCAATGTTGGGTCTCGGGCCGAGGCATTTCGGAGCCTGCGGCTCAAAAAAACCCGGAAAAGTCGGGGCCCCCCCTTCCTGTCAGCCAGAGTAATTGCCATGAACTATATCAACCCTAAAGCTCTCAACCCTAAACCCTAAACCCTAAACCCTAAACCCTAAACCCACCATATCTCTTTCTCAGAACCGAGCTCCAAAAACCATAAGAAGCCCCCCGGCCCCTGAGCTCCTGATCCGATCCGAGGGCCGCGCCAATCTTTGCCTGGACTCCAAGGAGGCTTCGGGTTTTAGGGTTTTAGGGTTTTGGGGTTTTAGGGTTCTAGGGTTCTAGGGTTCTGGGGTTTCAGGGTTTCAGGGTTTCAGGGTTTCAGGGTTTTAGGGTTTTAGGGTTTCAGTGTTTCAGGGTTTTAGGGTTTTAGGGTTTTAGGGTTTTAGGGTTTTAGAGCTTTGGGGTTTTAGGGTTTTAGGGTTTTAGGGTTTTAGAGCTTTAGGGTTTTAGGGTTTTAGGGTTTTGGGGTTTAGGTGTTTTTGCTGCCCGCCTAGTCAGCATTTTTGTTTTCGGTTTCAGGGATCAGTGAGGGTTTAGTCGAAGGTTTCTTGACAGTGTTGCTGACAATGACACTAGGACGACAAACTATCAGTAAACCTGAAAAGGAAAAATGCTAGAGGTAGGGGGCTAGGGTGAATCGACAACACTGTCGGACTAAGGCACCGAGCCCGATGTAAACACAAACAGCAGAGAGAGAGAGAGAGAGAGAGGGAGAGAGCAAGAGAGAGAGCGAGAGCGAGAGCAAGAGCGAGACAGAGTGAGAGAGAGAGAGAGAGAGAACGACAGAGATAAAAAGAGAGAGAAAAGCAGAAAGAGAGGAGAGAAAGACAGAGAAACAAAGAAGAGAGAAAAAATGAAGAGAGAAGGCATCTCTTGGCAAAGAGATGGGCACCCAAGTTGCCTCCCCCATTCAAGAATAAGGCCCAAGTAAGTAGGGCGCTGGGCTCCGAAAACACCATCATGTCCGTCATGTCCCCTCGCAGAGTAAGCAAACAAGCAAGGTGGAGGCAACAAAGGCATGCTAGAATGCACCACGCGCTGTTGTAAATGTACTGATGCACCGACTACTGGCCCAATCGCAGAGGGAAAATCTTGGCGTTTTTGGCCTGCGGCATTACGGTCCAGGCAACACGCGGGACGAAGAAGAGGAAATTAGGTGCGAGGACAGCCACAGGTCCAGATGGCAATACCTCTTCGTGTTGAGCAGGTGCTCGCACACGAGTCGGAGGGATTGCTTTCTGAAGGCAATCATCTTCGATCCCTCATAATTTGCATGGCCGAGAGAGGGAGGCCAAGCAAGAAGTCCGTAACCATTCTATGGACTGGCTTGGCCTTGAAGGCGTCCGCTACAAAAAAAAGTGTGCTTAGCAAGCCTAAATCGGTCCACTGATTTATAGGGTATAGGGTATAGAGTATAGAGCATGGGGCAGCGATAAGGCCCGGGAAGCGTTTAGGGAGGGGGCTGCGACGAGTGGAGGTTGCAGCTCTGGGGTTCCCAACCACACACACGCAACCTTAGCCTGACACTGCCAAAACTTACCCTCCCTTCTTGCCTACATCTGACAATCATGATGAACCTAAGGCTAAACCAGGGGCTTAGTAGGGAGCCTACCCTCACCGCCTCAAGCCTAAGAGAAAACATAAGGGTACCAGTGCGTGCTCAGCGAAGTCAATCCTGCTTTCGATCGGTATGGCTTGCCTCCACGATACGGTTTAGGGTTTAGGGTTTAGGGTTTAGGGTTTAGGGTTTAGGGTTTAGGGTTTAGGGTTTAGGGTTTGGGGTTTAGGGTTTACGGTTTAGGGTTTAGGGTTTAGGGCTTAGGGCTTAGGGCTTAGGGTTTAGGGTTTAGGGTTCCTAAGTCCTCAGAGCTGGCCCACCTGTCCATCCTGCTTGCCTCGCAGCCCTGCGACATCCAAGAGAAACCTCCTTCAAGATCTACAAGGAGGGGCCCCCTTACTATACTAACTGTAGTTAAGGGGACATATAACCTAATTTAGGATCCTTATAACCTAAAGTTAGGGCTCTTGTAACTCTACTTGTGACTAGGGGCGGGGCCCTCCCTGTACTCATCTACTCTTTCGCAGCCTGGCGGCCCACTCCTCCGCCAGCGTGGCTCCTTCTTGAACTCGGAAGACAACCTCCTGCCCAGTCGAGTCCTGTGCTTGGTTGCTGAGTTCATAAGCCCCCAAAAAACGTACACTTTCTTTTATCCCAAAAAGTGTAAAGTTTACTCACTCAGCTACTAAGTGTGTAAGGCTGGGACAGTGGATCGGAGACAGGACTGGAAGACTCATGATCAGGAACTTCTTTGTGTACCAAACGAACCCTGAAAAAACAAAAAACATTCGTCCACCCTCTACGTACATGGGCCATAAACCCGTTTAGGGTTCTGCTTGGTCTCTCTAAGGTATATCCAAGACTGCGCGTGCATCCAAGTGGCCGTCCCCAGCAGCTTCTGAATCATCGCATCCACGTCCTCCGCAGCCAGGTTCGAGGCGGCTCCCTCACACGTCTCCTTCCTTGGTGAAGGCCCCAGGTGCAACGAGCAAGAGACTCCAGAAAGTACCGCCAAGGGGCCAAGCCCTTAAAAGTTTAAGGTTACGCGCGGAGCGCTTCCCTACAGATTCCTTCCTGATCCCTGGACAGTTGTGCTAAGTGAACAGAAGCAATGGCAACGAGATCTGCGTGAATCTGCACAACCAGGGAGTAAACCATAAACCCTAAACCCTAAACCCTAAACCCTAAACCCTAAACCCGAAAAGGTCAGGTCTGGGCCTCGGGCGTCTGCTCATAGCAAGGCTTGCACATGTCGTAGTCGCAACCGCCCTCCGGGCACCGAAAGGCGGTACCGCTGGTTCCACAGATATCACCTCGGAGCTCAGAAGCCCCCAAGTTGGGATCTTACCCCTAAACCCTAAACCCTAAACCCTAAACCCCAAACCCTAAACCCTAAATCCCTAAACCCTAAACCCTCCTTACACAAACAGCCCTATCGATAGGGATTGCCCTATCAAAGGCCCTATGAGAGTAGCGGTCCAAATCTGGTGTGTCCCGACTATCGCGTGGAATAGATCGGTTATGCGAGAATTATCTCTGGGAATTGGGTATGGGTTCAGGGTCGGCCTCTATCGGTTCCCGTGCTAGATAAGACCGATGATGCGGGGGAACATCCCAACCCCTGTTTTAAGAGATTGTGCACTCCTTCTTCAACCCTGACTAGCCGGCCAAAGCCCACACTGGGTGTAGGGCCCTCTCTCCTAAACCCTAAACTTCAAACCCTAAGCCCTAATCTTCCAAAACCTGTGCTGGGGCTACGTTCTGGCCATGCGGATGACACTGACCTGCTTGCGGACTGCGGCTCCTTGACTCAGCACCGGGACTAAAAGCGCTTTTGGATTTTGTTTTGTACTTTTGCCACCTGCCGCGCTGGATTTTGTTTAGGATTTCGAGTTAAAGGGTCAGGGTCGAAGGTTTTGGGTTTCGGGTGTAAGGCAAGTCTTGAGCTTAGGGTACTAGGATCCAAGTTGAAAGCTCAGCCGCATCGATGGTTCCCTCGGACATCCGGCCGCAAACCTGGCTGCACTGGACTACCCAGGCGGCTTGCCTGTGGCTGCCATGAACCCAATACACTGATCATCCCGATGCCCTCGACCTAGGCAAGCTAGCGTTTTGCATGCTATGCTTTGTAGAACCATAGTAATTCCTCAGAAAGAAGTGTAATGAACCTAACTTCCAGACCTTTTAGTACCTTTCCTATAGCTCCTGATAATGGATAAGGTGAACGTAGTGAATGAATGTGTGAAAGAAGCATACGAATTGAATGCATTTGTAATGAAGTGAACGAAGTAAACGAAAGCACGAAATGTATTCATTTGTATGCGCGTGCCCTAAACCAGATAGCCCTTTACTGCAGAAGCGGTGGCTCTAAAACCCCTGCACCTTGTAAGCCCTAAACCCAGGCAGGAAAGGGAGCTTCTTGCATCCGAATGCTCCTCTTAGGACCCCCTCATTCTTAAAGTTTGAACCCTAGACCCTCTAAACCCTGGAAACACCCTAAGGGGACTGCTGGTATCTTCCTGCGAGTGGGGAGCGGTGGCCCTTGTTGCAAGCAGGTGCCGGCTTCAATTTGAAAGCCGCCTCGACAGGGAAGGGGGGGGCGGGGGGGGGGGGTGGTGGGAAAGCGGAACCCAAGGCGAGGTGTCATAAGGGCAGTTCGCTTTTTGGGGGGCAAGTTTATGAGGTTGGTATGCTGATATTTTCTTGTTGAAGGGTTCGCGGGCTTGAGGGCGTGTAGCAAATTTGCTTTGTCATCAGACTTCAGAGTTACCCTAAACCCTAAACCCTAAACCCTGAACCCTGAACCCTGAACCCTGAACCCTAAACCCTAAACCCTAAACCCTAAACCCTAAACCCTAAACCCTAAACCCGAACCCTTCAGCATGCTCCATGGGCCATCCAAGGTTTCTCTTTCACGTCGCCATTTCGGGTTGGAAAGAGTTGAGGGTTTAGGGTTTAGGGTTTCCTGGCTGGTTCTTAGTAGGGAATGAGGGAATGCGGTACCCGATATGATCCCTTAAAGATATAGGATCCTGTTCCCTCATTGCCTACTAAGAGCCGGGGGGTTTAGGTTTCGCACACGGCAGGGCGGGCTTCAGGTTTAGGGTTTGGGGCTTCCAGCCGTTTGAACTGCGCGGCTGAGACCGTGCAGCCATCATTGACAACTCTCTCGCCATGATGATGTCAGCATCACAGGAAGAAACTGTGCGAAGAAAATGGAACTGCAGTAGAAGCTTGAATCTGAACCAGGTTGGGGGACACAGTGACACACGCGCATCATGGCTGAAAGGGAAAGACACTGTACGTGTCTGGACCTCCCTAACAAACGAGTCTGTTGGAGACTTGCTGCCGTGCCCAGACATCCCGAAACTCCCGCGAAACCCTTCCTGACCCCGCACCCCCCGGCCCCAAAATCACAACCAAACCCCCAATCAGAGAACAGTGCAGCTGCCTCTCGCAGATAGTGGGGGGCAAGGACGCCCCGGGACTCATTGAGAGCCTGCGCAGCTCTCCGATAGAACTCGGAGGTTCGGACTTATCTCGGGCTGTTGCCACTTTCTGCGAGGTTTGATGACATTGCGCTATTTGGGGCTTCCGTTTGGACCGTTCGGGTTAGAATCGATTGTGCTGGCCCTCGACTAATCGCAATTCCGCTGGACACCACATTCGCGAAGAGATGCCGGAAAACCCGCAACAGGCGGTTTAGGGTGTTTCTTGGCCTGCGGGTCTGGGGTGTAAGGGCTTCGGGGTTACAGTCGAGGAAAGGAGCACTTCTGAGGAAGCCCTGGCAGCGAAGCGATTCACATTCCCGGACACCCTAAATTTCCTGTACCCTGCCCCTTAGACTAACAATGCTTAAGAGGGACCATATCAGCGGGTACTAGAATCCCTATTTAGGACTGTTAGTCTAAGGGGGAACATCCCAACCCATACGTAGACCTATAACCCGAGAACCCTTTATCGACCGAGGCCGGAACGACCGCCAACTCAGGTGCAACCCTTTATGAACCCTATTTGCCGCCACACACTCATAATTCTTAAAACCCTCAAGCCTTTGCAGCATGTGGCAACCCGAACCCTAAACCCCTAAACCCCTAAACCCCTAAACCCCTAAACCCCTAAGCCCCTAAACCCCTAAACCCCTAAACTAAACCCCCAAACCCCCAAACCCTGAACACCCCCCCCCCCTCTCCCTCCGACCTCCCATCCACCACGCGGCGGCAGCTCGACTCCCGGAACCACCTCATCTCCCCACATGCCCACTGGGGTTAGGGTTAGGGTTAGGGTTAGGGGCTTCGGGGCATAAGGAGGCTTAGGGGCATAAGGAGGCTTAGGGTTTAGGGTGTCGACTCTCGCGTTTGCACATGGCAGGCAAGGGGTTTCGACTCTCACACTCGCACGGAGGCAAGGCTCGAAGGTCTCGGTGCGCCAGGCAGGCTAAAGCTTCGAGCCTTCGAGCCAGCGTTCGACTTCCAGACGCTCCGCCACACAGCTCCAGGCCATAATCTAATCGCCGAAACAAGGGCCACTTGCGCCCACCAGCCGTACTCTTCACAACACGTGGGCACAGCAGCAGGCTAGTCGATTAACATCGCTGTACAAGGAGATCACTCGCCCTAAGCCCTAAACGCCACGGGGTTTAGTGCTTAGGCTTCAGGGCGATCTAACGCACGGGGGGCCTTTGTACGTATTTATGACCTAAATGGACTTCAAACGGTACGATGCGGGAGATAGTATATAATATATATATATATACACACACACATTACTTATGTAACTTTCCACTATATCGACCACATTTTAGATCATCCCCCCGCCCCCCCCCCCCCCCCCCCCCCTTGTGTCGCTATCGCCCGTTTTTGGATGTGTGGGTTTGCGGTGGTTTTCCGAGTTGCGCGTAAGGTTCTGGGAGGGAGGGGGGCATGGGAGTTCTCCGAAAGGATCACAAAACGAGGCAATTCCAGGCATAGATCCAAAGCCAGCTAGGGAGAGGGGGGGGGGGCATTCCCTGTGCCACCGAAACCTAGTATACCTAGTTCTTTCTCACCGGGCCCACAGACAAGGGGGGGGGGGGGTTTATAAGGTTTAGGTGGCGAGGGGCGGAGGCTGAGAAGCACCAGTCATCCATGGACTTGTCAGAGATCCTCCACTTGCCAGCGCCTCAGTGTGGTGGAATGACCTCTTCAGGGGGTTTAGGGTTTAGGGTTTAGGGTGCGGTTCCGAGTCAAAGGTGGCAAATTCTCATCCTGGGTAGTTTCTACCATAGTCACGTAAGAACTCTGAGGGATAGCGTTGGCAACTTTGGATATACTCTGTTCGGTCCTGTCTTGCCTTCACTGCGCCTCAAGAAGGACCATCAACGCCTGCAGCCCTTTTGCAACTGGACTGCGGACAAGTGCCAGGAAAAGATACTACCCTCACTCGGGCTAAACCCCAAACCCTCAACGCTTCCTAAACCCGAAACCCTGAACCCTAAAAACTAAACCCTAAACCCCAAACCCTAAATACTTCCTAAACCCTAAGACCCAAACCCCAAAACCCCAAAACACTTCCTCAACCCGAAACCCTAAACCCTAGACCCTAAACTCCCAAAACCTCTAAACACTTCCTGGCCTAGATGCTCGGGTCGCACCACAAGTGCTGCCCACCGTCGCACTTGAACAAGGGGTAGCTATTGAGCTCCCCGGAGCGCTCCTTGACTTTAGGGTATAGGGTTTAGGGTTTAGGGGCCGTAGCATCCAGATTACTAGAGCTCCCTATTCTTTAGGGTCCTTGATTACTAGAGTTCCCAATTCTTTAGGGCCCTTGATTACTGGAGCGCCCTTTTTTTGCTTTTGGTTTCTTAGGGTCTCGGGTTTAAACCCTAAGCCCAAACTTCAAAGGATCAATTAAACCCTTGATAACTAGAGTTCCCTATTTTTTGGGTTTGTTCATTTTTTTTTTTGGGGGGGGGGGGGGTTTAACACCCTCAGCCCCAAACCCCAACACTCTAGAGTTCACGATTTTGGGGTTGTTAGTGGTCTTTCGGGCTTAGGGTTTAAACCCTAAACCCAAACTCCAAAGCCAAACCGTGAATGCGCCTCAATCAAGCTAAGACCAGGCCTCTTCATATGAATACAAGGCGACTACGAGCCCAGACGATCCAGCTCACCAGGCAGAAGGGGGGAATAGCTGGGACATGTAGTTACTATAGGGTTCAGGATTTAGGGTTCTACCTTAGTCCCCTTTTGGGGGTGTGTCTGCCCATATTTTGGGGGTACATGGACCCTTTGGGCCGAAGCATTGCCATGGCTCATACTTGCCCCGGAGTGCGCTGGGCCCGTTGACCACCACGGCGTATGACCTTTCAGGCACGCCGTGGGTGAGGGGTATGTTAGGGTTTAGGGATATTAGTTAATAGGGTTTAGGGTGTAGGGTTTTCTGTTTAGGGTTTTGGGTTATCTTTGGAAATGCGCACATCAGCATGCCTCTGGATCTTTGGCACGTCGCGGTACTTCTGCGCTGCAACCAATCGCTGCACGTGCTTCCTGGGCAGGATGGAAGCGACTTTCGGGGGATTGTTTCTGAAACTAGAGGTCCCCCACAATCTGCTGCCATCCTTCTTGTACAGGAACGAAAATCCCTAAACCCTAAACACTAAACCCTGAACCCTAAACCCTAAACCCTAAACCCTAAACCCTGGGTGCCCCCTTTCTTCAGGAAACCCTGACTTCAATATGAGGAAGACTCGGGTATCTACAACGACTGCGCAGCGCATCCGATCCTCAAACTCTAAGCCGAAAGACACGCTGGTATCTGACTAACCCTAAACCCTAAACCCTAAACCCTAAACCCTAAACCCTAAACTACCTGAGTCTCTGGGTCGCAATCCCTGAACCCTAGACTGGCATGCCCTAGGTGGGCCGTCCAGCGGGTGTCTTCCTTATCAACCTTCCCTTTCTTGCAAGCAACCTGAGAACCGGTTTAGGGTTTAGGGTTTAGGGTTTAGGTTTAGGGAACCCTCCATTGCTTTCTTCATGCTGTACGTCACAGCAATAGCCTATGACTAGGAGTGTTTGGGCTTCCAAGGTAAGCCCTTTCAAGCCTGTACCCTAAACCCTAAACCCTAAACCCCAAACCCCAAACCCTAAACCCTAAACCCCAAATCCTAAACCCTAAACCCTAAACCCCAAACCCAGAAGTTCTCTGCCCGGGCGTCTTAAGGTTGACCTCGCCGTGGATCTGCACTTCCTTCAAGGAGTAGGGCTTTGTTGGGGTATAGATTGGGACTTTCACCCTGATTCTAACAGTCCTGAATGAGATTATGATAGGGTTTTCTATAATCCCTATCAAGGACTGCTAGTATAAGGGGTGACACCCCAAGGTTTAGAATTTACGGCCACCAACACTTCTGATGCCAAGACGCTACTAAGCAGGGACAAGTTTTGTTGACTCGAGCACGGCGGACTGACCTAAGGGCCTGTCTGAACAATGCACTGCCTTTGTCTGGTGATCTTTTGTCCGTTCGGCACACAATCTGGGACAGCTGTTAGCTGCCTGTCCACGCTGCAAGGATCGGAAAACAGTGCTGCAGCAGGTGAACACCGACTGGTACATGTGCATCCAAATTCTGGCTCTCTGGGATATGTTTGATCTAGGATATTGTTGCGCGGGGCCATGCGGCTCTGACTCTGTGGCCATTCCGGACAGCCCGCGTACTTGCAATCGCTGGCCCCTACTTGCATGTACAGCAAGGAGGCCCAGCAAAGCCATCTCTCTTGCTCAGCTGCTCTTCTTGCTATCATCTGCTGCTTCGGCAGAGGCGGGGGAAAACATGACACTCAAGACGAGCAGCAGCCCGCTCACAAAATACAGGGCCCGGCTGAGGTTCAGGTCAATGCTGCCAACTGCCCTCAGATTTTGCAGTGGTGTACCACACGCAACAAAGGCATCGTTCCTGCCAGACACATGTTTAGGGTTTAGGGTTTAGGGGTTTAGGGGTTTAGGGTTTCGGGTGCACTCACGCCGTGCAATGCTCTTGCTGCTGCGTGCACAACCACAACTGCGATATGGACTGCAACGGAATACCAAACAGTAGCCCAGCGTCAAGACTGACAGCGGGACAACAAAGCCAATGACCCCTTCGGACACCGCCTGCACCTCGTTTCGATGCAGGGTATCATGCCTTGGGACCTGGGGTTTAGGGTTTAGCGTTTGGGGTTTAGGGTTTAGGGTATCTGCATCTCCTGTCAAACGGGGAATCCAGTGCACAACCGGAACCTCCTTAACGAAAGCTTTTCCCAAAGAAACGGAAGGTCTCGCTGATTGCTCATGCTTAGTTCTTCATGGTTGTAGCTTCAATAACCTTTCCCTCATCTCCTACCAACCTTCCACAGCCCAGGAGAGGGTCAGTCGGGACCCAATTGCCCAGAAGCAATCGTACAGTGGGCCTGCTGCAAAA